AGATAGCGCCACTGCACTCCAGCCTGGGTAACAAGAGCAAAACTTCTGTCTCAAAAAAAAAAAAAAAAAAAAACTTACAGTGGCTTATCATCTTTTTTGTTGTTTTCACTAAGTCATTCCTACCGTAACTGTGAATTTAAAGTAAAACCAGCTCAGAGTCTTGCCAGAGTCTGCTCTTTGGTCCTTGTTCTACCTTAAACTTTGTATCACCTGAAATTAAACCAACTGGTTTGAAAGGATGCTGTTCTTGTGTGGTTATACACCTGACAGAATATGTTACATGAGATTAGAAGAATTTGCACTTTTTTTTGGTGGGGGAGGGGGTAGAGTCTCACTCTGTCACCCAGGCTGGAGTGCAGTGGCATCATCTCTATAAAATGCAACCTCCACCTCCTGGGTTCAAGCTATTCTCCCACTTCAGCCTCCCGAGTAGCTGGGGCTACAGGCACCCACCACCATGCCCAGCTAATTTTTTGTATTTTTAGTGTTGGCCAGGCTAGTCTCAAACTCTTGACCTCAAGTGATCAACGTGCCTCGGCCTCTCAGAGTGCTAGGATTACAGGCATGAACCACTGTGCCCGACCAGAATTTTCATTTTGAAAAGAAAACCCCAACTTTTATGTTGTGACATCCAAATTGTCTTATGTTTTAATGGGACTTAGTCGTCTGTCCATGTAAGGAGTCTGCTATGTGCAGGCACTGGGGTATGTACCAGGGAGCAGTTCCTGTTGTCAAGGAACTTCTCTACCATGGAAGAGGCAGGGCAGGGCAAATGACATGCTCCAAGTTGATGGCAGTGAAGTCCCCACGCACACCAAACGTCCAGGGCAGCAGCTGCAGGAAGCCCCAGCCCACTTGCTGGTAGATGGAGGGGGTGCCAGTGCCAAGTAAGGGGTTCGGGGCAAGGCAAAATGTGGGCTCACTCTGCCACCTGCTACCCAGCACTGGAGTCCTAGGCATACCTGCCACTTGCCCCTCACTAAATGCAAAAAGGACAGAGACCATCCATAATGTATGCTAAATATCTATTGAAGCACTTAGCTGGGTGTGGTGGTGCACTTCTGTAGTCCCAGCTATTTGGGAGGCTGAGGTGGGAGGATCCCTTGAGCCCAGGAGTTCAAGGCTGCAGTGAGCCAAGATCACACCACAGCACTCCAGCCTGAGAGACAGAACAAGACCCTGTATCCAAAAAAAAAAAAAAAAAAAAAGAATTCAGAGGCACAAGTATTTGGATTTCTCTTCCAGGCCCTTGATACAACTATGCTAATAATACTAAGCTTTCTCTGAGAATGTATTTTCAAAGAGGAGCTCTGGAACCATTATGAGACTTTGCTAAATCAAAACTAGAAAAGGTTTTGGTATACTGAAAACTTTCATGATTACTGTACTAGATATTAACACGGGAGGCGGGGGCAGGGGGAAGCCTGCGTTGGTCCTCTCCAGAAAGTTGCATAGCCAGTAGCACCCTTCTTTAGGCTTCAGGCATTCCCTATGGGGCCTTGCCAGCTGGCACACATGCTCCAAGTTGATGCCCTATCCTGCTAAAACAAACCTCAGCACCAGTGATTCACACTGTTGCTGAGAGCAAGTTACTTAGTGGAACCTACCCCTCTTTTAACAAGTGAACAATCCTGTATCTTTCCAAGACCAAAGAGAGCCCTGCAGCAACGAAGCATGCAATATTTGGGCAGCTGAGGAAGACTACCAGTTACTCCAAAAAACTTTAAACTCCTAAGACGTTGTAGACCCTGACAGCAATCTCCCTTTCATTTAATCTTCCTTTTATTTAATGCCTTCACAAACACTCCTAGGACACTCACAAGTAAAGTTTGGCACTGAGCAGGTAAGGTTGAGTCTTGCTCCTGTTACTCTACACCGCCAATTCTCTATTGCAGCTAACTGTTCTGCACACCACTGCTGCCCAGTAAAATTTGTCAGTCACGCAAACCCAGCTCAAATTGCTGCTCCTTTGTGAAATTTTACCTCTGTCTTCGCCACAGGTAACTCTTACCTGGCCTTTGTATGGCCTGCCTTTCAATGTAGAATTATCTCATGTGCCAGCCCTCTATCCTGCTAACTTCACTCAACCTATACGACAGCCCAGGTGCCATTTACATGGGGACTACTTTGACCTCCTGAGCCTCATTCCATACAACCAGAGCTTAGGGAAAAAACATTCCACCACTCAGAGGAATTAATGTTAACAGCCTGAGCAGCTCCGACCCCCTCCCACACAGGAACATCTCCAAACATCACTCCTCCCTGGACTTTCCTCCTCCCTGGGCCTACCTCAAATGTACACATATGAAACATATACCTCAAATGTTCACTATTCCCGAAGGTGTCTGCACACGGCAGCTCTATTCATAATCCTCACCCAACATATTCCACTCTCCTCAAGAAAGCCTGGGGGTTTGTGGGAGGTGGGTCTGGCGGGAAAACGAAAGCGAGGTCTCGGAGACCACATCCCTGAATGCTGCCTGGCTCGACTGAAACGAAACACTTGTGAATGCTGGGCAAGCTGCTCCTGCGCGGCCCTCCTTCATGAAGTGCCAGGGAAGGGGCGCAAAGCCACCCGCGCGACGGAACTGGTGCGCCTCGGACCCGCCCGCCTCTCCGATAACGCGTCGCGCCGCACCTAAGTCTTCGTCGCAAACCTGCAGAATTTCGGCCCCTGGCCTCGGAGTAGCGAGCGGGGCGGGGCGCCACCGAGCCGCACCGGGCGTCGGCGGGGCGTGGCGGCGCACTCGGACGTTCGTCATTCTTCCGCGCCCCACCGCCTGCCAGCTGATTGGCCTCTGAGCCGGGGGCAGGGCACTCGCGGCTGAGGCTAGCGGTGGCGCGCGGGCGGTTGGTCCAGCTTTCGGGGCTCGCGACAGGCAAGTCAGGCTCGGCGCTGTCTGATACTTGGGGCTAGCGGTAGGCATGGCGGGGACCTCCGCGCCGGGCAGCAGGAGGCGGAGCGAGCCCCTGGCGCCTCGCCCCGGACCGCCGCCCGGCACCGAGCATCCACCGAGCAAGCGGGCCCGGGGCTTCTCCGCGGCCGCTGTCCCAGACCCTGACGACCCGTTTGGCGCGCATGGGGACTTCACCGCCGACGACCTGGAGGAGCTTGACACCCTCGCGTCACAGGCCCTGAGCCAATGTCCAGCCGCGGCTCGGGACGTGTCCAGTGAGTGCTCCTCGCGGCCTTTTTCCCGGAAGGAGTTGCAGACCGCTCCAAATCCCCTTGATGGCTGTGGCTTCGGAACCTCGGGGCCAGCACTTCCCTTTCCCCTTTTTAAAATATGGGAACACCCTGATTTAAGCAACGGCTGTCTTCCAAAAGGTCCTTTGATTTTAGGGGGAAATGCATCATCAAGGTCAAACAGCCGATTTGAAACACAGAAGCTAGGTTAACATTTTATTTTCTAAAGTTTAGGACACTTCATTCTTGATTCTAAGCAGAGATCCTTGGAACACACCTACCACCACCATCACCATCACTACCGATGCATGGGGACCTATTCTTGTGACAAGTTTGAGAGGCTTTAGATCTCATGAAGCCCACTGTCTCCCTTGGGCAGTGTGAGCGTGGGAGGAGCCTGATACAGGCAAAAGATGAAATAAATTTATTCTTTTATACAACCAGTAAACTGTGCTAGGTGCCCAAACGTTAGGAACTGCAGCTGACCTAACAATGAACAAAATACAAAAACTCTGCCCTTCCTGGAGCTTACATTCTAGTTGAGGAATGAGTGAAGTCTCAGGGACTCCCAGAAAGAGAAACGTTTTGAGTGCACCTTGCACCTGTACTTGGGTGTCTCAAGGCATCTTAAACTCAACATAATCATTTCCTGGAAACCCAGTCCTCCTTCAACATTTCTAGCATGGTGCCGGCAAACCAGACATTCAGACCATGATGACCAGATATTCCAGAAGGAAGTAACCAGAACCAGTCTCCATCCAGTGGTGCAAGGCGACTCATCCCCTTTCCTTGACTCTACATCTAATTTCTTTGCAAAGCCTGTCAAGCTTACCTTCTTAATCCATCTCTGGAATCCATCCTGTTCACATCACTTCTGCCAACTGCCTGATGTATGCTACCATGAGTCCTCCCTTGAACAAATAGTCCGCTAAATTGGTTTCCCATTTCCAACCTTGACTCGCTACAAGTGAGGCTTCACATCACATACTGAGTGATCTTTTCAAAACTCAAATCTGGCTGTGTCTTACACAGATATACCTGAACACCCCTAATTTTATTTATTTAGTTAGTTTTTTTTGAGATGGAGTCTCACTCTGTCACCCAGGCTAAAGTACAGTGGTGCCATCTCAGCTCACTGCAACCTCCACCTCCCGGATACAAGCAATTCTCCTGCCTTAGCCTCCCGAGTAGCCTCAGCCTCCCAAGTAGTCTCAGCCTCCTGAGTAGCTGGGATTGCATGTGCCTACCACCGCAGCCAGCTAATTTTTATATTTTTAGATAGGGTTTCGCCATGTTGGCGAGGCTGGTCTTGAACTCCAGACCTCAGATGATCTGCCCGCCTTGGCCTCCCACAGTGCTGGGATTACAGGCATGAGCCACCGTGCCTGGCCATGAACACCCCTATTGAAAGCCCTTTAATGATTTCCCGCTGCTTCTAGTATAAAGACCAAAATCCTTATGGCCTGCAAGGTCAAGCCTGGTTTGGCCCTTTCTCACTCTCTGGGTTCTGGCTACACTAACATTTCTTCATTCTTTTAATTCTTTCTGCTTCCTTACTTTATACATTGCTTTCTTTGTACATTGAGTATACTTTCCATTCATTCATCTGCAGTCATCTGGTTAATTCCTACTTGTCCTTCAGCTCCCAGCTCCTTCCAGTCTTCTTTAGGGAAATGTTCCAATCATCCCACTTAGGTCAGATTGCTGTCCCATTACAGGCTTTCCTGTATTTGTTCTCTTTTACAGTTCTTATCACAGTTGTAATTTGACATTGATTTGTGTGATTATTTGTCGAATGTTCTTTAAGCTCTGTGAGTGTAAGGACAGTGTCAATTTTGCTCACCATTATACCTTTAGAGCCTAACATAATGTCTGGCATATTGTTTGTGGTCAGTAATTGTTGTTGATAATAAATAGATCACTGAGTTCTGACCAGTGAAATCTCCACAGCACCTTTCAGGCTTTAGGTGAAACTCTTGGAATTGGGTGAGGGATAGGGAAATAGAGATAGGATCTGCTATTTTAGAAGATCGTTTATGAGTTTTGGCCGGGCATGGTGGCTCAAGCCTGTAATCCCAGCACTTTGGGAGGCCAAGGCAGGCTGATCACTTTAGGCCAGGAGTTTGAGACCAGACTGGCCAATATGGTGAAATTCCATCTTCACTATAAATATTAAAATTAGCCAGCCATAGTGGCACATGCCTGTAATCCCAGCTACTCAGGAGGGTAAGGCACAAGAATCGCTTGAAGCTGGAAGGCCGAGGTATCAGTGAGCCAAGATTGCACCACTGTGCACTATCCAGCCTGGGCGACAGAGCGAGACTCCGCCTGAGGGAAAAAAAAAAAAGATCAGTCTGGCCAACATGGTGAAATCCCGTCTCTACTAAAAATACAAAAATTAGCCAGTAATGGTGGTGGGCACCTGTAGTCCCAGCTACTCAGGTTGCTAAGGCGGGAGAATCATCTGAACCCAGGAGGTAGAGGTTGCAGTAAGCCAAGATTATGCCACTGCACTCCACCCTGGGAGACAGCAATCGTTTATGAGTTTGAACCATGTTCTTAGGCTGGAAAATACCTATATTACTTACTAGATCTTTCTCTGCTTTGTTCTCAAGAGTAATTTTTCCCAGCACTTTGGGAGGCAAAGGCAGGAGAATTGCTTAAGCCAAAGAGTTCACGACCAACCTGGGCAATATAACGAGACCCTATCTCTACAAAACATTTAAAAATTAGCTAGGCATGGTGGCACACATCTGTAGTCCCAGCTACACAGGAGGTTAAGGCAAGAGGATCACTTGAACCCAGGGTCGAGGTGGCAGTAAGCAGTGATCGCACCACTGCACTCCAGCCTGGGTGACAGAGCAAGGTCCTATCTCAAAAAAGAAAAAAAAAAAAAAAAAAAGAGTGGGTATTTAAAGTGGGAAAATGTTGGGTCCTGAAATGTATATGGAACTGTTTTTTACAGGTGATCATAAAGTCCACAGATTAGATGGCATGTCAAAAAATCCTGCAGGAAAAAACAGAGAAAGTGTTCCAATTAAAGATAATTTCGAATTTGAGGTACTTCAGGCACAATACAAAGAACTTAAAGAAAAGGTAAGTGACACTTAACTTGTGGTTTTTGTAGCTAACTCATTCACTTATTCCTGTGTTTTAAAGCATTGTACAGTAAAATATACAAAAGTTGTAAAACAAGTGTCTACATTCATCACCATGACATGGGAAAAGACTAGGGAAAGACAGCCAGAAAGTTTAGGCTGAAAGGCAAGAAGAAAAACACTGTATACCAGATCCAAAAAGAGATACAAACTGTTAGGCCACTGAGACGATTTTATAGCATATATCTTCATGTGAAGAATACAACATCATAATGGTTGCTATTTCCATTAGCAGCTTTGCAAGAAAGCAGACACCCTTCGTATCACCATCTGTAGGTCCCTAAGAAAACCAGGAA